GGTTATAGGTACACGTGATATTTTTTTCGTAGTTCAAATAAATATGGCTGACTGTCGGCCATTTTGTTTTTTATATACCCATCCTACTTTCTCTTGAATGCAATGTACATTTCTGTTTAAATTTTGTCTGAAGCTACAATGTAGTATGCCAAGAAATACATCTGCACCAACATTATTTTTGTGATTCAATTCAATATGGCTGGCTGACGCCCAATTTTTATGTAAAAGCACTAAATCATAATTTTTTACAAATCCATCTGCTATTAATGGTTTCAATCTAATCTCAATGACTTTATCAGCATCAAATTGATATGTCAGATTACAAAATTTTGGACAGGGACTGTGTGGATTTATATGGCGATTGAATTGCAGATACAGTTTTCAAAAGTTGACTAGAATTGTTTGCGAAAGCATTTTGTGAGCTCACCATAAATTTCTAATGATTTTCAGCAACCATGCCCAAGAAAAGAAAAACTAAATTAACCAAAAGAGCAAAGCCTAAACTTCCTGATAGTGATGACCAGGGTGACCTATCAGAACATGAACGATCACAAAAGTTGGAACTATTCTTACAAGATTTCGATATTGAAGGTAAGGTAAAGTTTTTCTTGAATTGTTTAACGATGTCTTCCACAAGTCTTTTATTAAATTTTTTAAATTCTAATCTAGTAATTCCTTTTCTTTTCAACCTTGTGTATGTTCAGCTGCTGTTTTTTAGTGCTATGTGACACTAGTTTTGCTCACAAGAAGAATAATCCATGTTGGAAAGACTTCTTTTTGTACCCCACAAGCTTAACCCTGTCTCTAACAGTAACTTTCCAATGGCCACCAATTCAATTGTATATGCCCCTGGAGATAACTTATGGATCTCCTTAAAGTGCCTGTGAAATGGCTTGCTTATTTTCACGCCTAAAATTATCATTTGATACATAAATATTAATAATTTTTATGTTTCTTAAGCATGAATTATTTTTTTTAAGTGAAAAAATGTGTTTTAAACTCAGTCTTACGGCAACTTTATTTTTGTGTATTTTAAAACGAGGCTCCTCATTAGCTTCTCATTTGCATACAGAAATTCCCCTTGTGACGTCAGAA